TAATATGCCATTGCTGGGATGGGCATGAGTGTGCACTGACTGACCACAGGTGTGAGCGTGTGCATCGATTGCGTTGAGTACATCACATGGACTGCAGGACGTACACCATACCACGGCATCATAAATACAGAAGAGGGACCAGAGCTTCTTAGTTTAAATTGCTTGGCAATTAGTAAAGTTTGTTCTAAAGCTCGCTCGGGTTCAGCCCTATTTCGCTATCAAATATTGGGATCAATGCGCTTACCTGGCCGATGTAGAAGTAGATGAAATGCTTTGTCTCGTGAGTAACATACGACCCGAAGTTTCGCCCGACTATACAGTGCCACGAGGGTGTGAATCTGCTGTCGAATTCCTGAGATGGGGACAAGATAATATGAATATGAGAATACGGAAACAAAACTACGAATGAATTTTGCTATTTAGACTGTTTACACATAAGAATACGTATTTGTATCATTGTTCCTTGCTTGATACACTATTTACACCCGAGAATACGTAATTGTATTAATGTACCTTGCTTGATAAATTATTTACCCATAAGAATAGAGAAAATAAGTATTGTACCTTGCTAGTTAAAGCGTACCCATTGCATAGCTGCGATGGAGTTGTATGAGCTTGATGTACCATCATAAGACACCACTGCCTCCCTACCTTACTGCCCGACTCTTCAAAACAAACATGATAGTTAAATACCTTCCATAAATAGCAACAAGACCGTGAACAGAGAGATATACAAGAAGGATACATTGCCGCATCCATCCATCGGGAAAGTCCCGTCCATACAAATTGAACCAACAACCTCATACGCACAGCTGTGTGCCTACATTATAGTCAATCACACAGTGAAACTCATGGATGTACTGCACTCTCCTGCGTTCTGATTAGGTAGTGTGCTAGTATGCGCTCACAGTAGTAGTCCGAATAAGCAAGCACCCGCCGCATACAGCAGTCAGTGGTCATACCTTCTTTATATACGCCGCTACATCTTTCTCTATGCTGTGTTTCTCTAGCGCTTCTGTCGCAACATCAATAGCCGATTTCTGCCACAGGAACGGAAGGAATGCATATATGAGCAAATGCGGTGAAGCCTAAACATGTCTGTACATCAATGTCAAGGTAGCTCGACCATTAGCTTGTATCCCTGTGAACTCATACAACGCAGGCAGATGTCCCTGTCCGGTCTAAAAGGATCGCGTATATGACAACGCTGGATTTGAGTGGAACGGGAAGGATTCATCATATGTGTACGTATACATGCATGAACACGTGTGTACGTGCATGTTCACAGAAGAAACGACCCACAAGGGTACTGTACACACGCATGCACACAAGTACATGAGGGTACTCTCGGACTACAGAGCACAATCCCAAGGTACCTACAAGCCTTAGATGGTTCATATCAGTCTACAAAACATAACCCCAATGTACCTACAAAACTTTTGTGGAGCATGAAATGTGTGTGGTGATCCGCAAACATTCAAAACAAATGTCATGTTCTAATTATCAGTGAAATATGTATAATATAGTTCCTACGAGATATTCATGCCACTATAAAGACGTATAATGATACATATGCATAAAGAATTTGAACAATAAAATATAGCTGTAGATAAAAATATATGCATACGAAAACTTGATTAAATAAGTGTATATTATATATATATATATATATATATATATATATATATATATATATATATATATATATATATATATATATATATATATATATATATATATATATATATATATATATATATATATATATATATTA